CTTTTTTTTTTAAAAGTTTATTTTTAAATTCTGGTTAGTTAACATACAGTGTAGTATTAGTTTCAGGTGTACGATGTTGAGATTCAACACTTCCACACATCACCTGGTGCTCATCAGGACAAGTGTACTCCTTAATCCCCATCACCTGTTTAACCCATCCCCCCCCTCCCCTTAGGTAACCATCAGTTTGTTCTCTAGAGTTAAGAATCTGTTTCTTGGTTTGCCCCCGCCCTCCGTCTCTATCTCCCTTCCCCGCCCCCCCGCCCCCCGCTTTGCTGGTTAAACTTACCTTCTTGTTTGGCAGCCTAGCTCTGTTATTTCTTTTTTGACTGTCAAATGTGGAAATTCCTATTTACCTTTCCTTGTGGCTTTGGATGTGGAACATTTATGTGGGCTTCCCAGAGCAGCTTGCCGTGCTCAAGACTGCTAATCATTTACAGATTTTCACACACTGTTTCTCACCTGCCTCTTCCCTAAGTAACTTGCTGCTGTATCACCAACGTGCTTCGCTTTTCACTCTCTGTTTACAGAATCATCCCACCAGACAGGACATTTTCGACGTTATGTTTGTACCGCTCAGTCGTGTTCCGAGTAACGGCTTTTATTTACCCTCGTAATGAGTATAAATGATATCTTCACATTTGATCTATCACCATACAAGAATCCCTCACCAAAGTCAGAATTACCTTCCTGGAAAATCAGCGAAATCACAAAAGGCAGGATCATTGCCTCACAGAAAACAGGGGTGGGAGCAGACAACTTAAACGGCTTTACACGTAGAATGTTATCATCACAGCACACGAGAGTTCTAGAAGGCAAAGGGAGGCGAGAAGCCCACACCCTCCTCGTGGATTACCTCATTCAGTACACACATTGCCGTCTCGAGCTTTGTTGTACATTTTGGAAATGTTCTAACCAGTTCCTGTGCTTAGCCAGCTCCAGTTCTGTCATTAGCCTTTTCCTTTGTTTCTCTGTTCCAGGTGTTAACAGACTATCTGTGTCATTGTCTGGCCTTTTCACAAGTTATCCTGGGGTCAAGGGCCTGGCTCTCTGGGTTACAGGTTGAAGCAGGGAGCTTAAGTTGGTCCAGTGTCTGCACTATTCCGCAGACCTGCCTCGCAGTCTGATTAGAGGGGGCAGTGCTTACAGCCGCGTTCTGCACCTGGTGATGAGGGCACTGAACTGAACATATTTGATGTACAAGTAGAAAAACATACTATCTCAGAACTGATTGGCTAGGGACTATCCCATTTTTGTTTTTTTGAAAAACCTAATGAAGAGAGTTCACTTTTGCTAGGATTGAATTGAACAGAAATATTTTTAAAAAAAGATTTTGGATTTGTCATGTTCATTCAACATCCAGATATTTTCTAATGATGAATTGGAAAGTCAGAAAATAAAGACTTACTAAAATTTTTAAAGATATTTGAGAGCTATATAATTATGACCTTTGCTCTGTACATGATAACATTAGGTTCAGATCAATATTGATAAAATTTCATGATATCGTTTTGAATGCCAAGTTTACATTGCTAGCATTGATCTGTGAAATCTGAAATACACATTTTCATATTTTTATGAATTCCGTGGAATTCTGCCAAGAAAATATGTCTTAGAGGTTTTGGACATATCTGGATTGTTTCATATCCTAAGGACACTCTGTTGAGTCCATTTATTTTTATCTATGTTTATTTTAATGGGCTGTTTTTAGCTTTACAAACAAGATGATTTGTTTTTTAAATTAATCATGCATCAATCAGTCTCCTCTGAAAGCAACTTTAGATATCTTTCAAAATTTAAAATACACATGTCCTTTGCCTCAGCAGTTTATTTGTGCACATTTGTTCAAAAACTAAATGCACATCAAGATGACTGATTTAGAAAATTATTCAAGCTCTTTAAAGAACATACAAGCTGGATTTACATGTGTGACATAGACTAGTTCAAAAGCATATTATTAAATGAAAAAAAGGAAATGGACAGTGCATAAAGTGTCTTTCCATTTCTCTAAACATTATACATAAATTCATATTATATGTATGTACATAAAATTTTCCTGAAATGATCCAGCAGAAAATGAGGCGGTCACCTGGATCTCAGGTGGAGAGAACTCCTGTTTCTCTTTGCATATTTTTTAATGTTAAAAATTTTTTTACCATGTATATGTAATTTTCATTTTATCAACTAGCAATTTAGTGTAGAAATTAGCACTTTGATATTTAGGAGCCATTTAAACACAGATATGTCATATGTATTGTTTGTGCCATCTAAATATATTCTACCCTTTCTTATTAAATGTTTCTTGAATGTATTACTTGACATTGTGTTTTAGAGCATTTGTAATGTTGTTCAGGGTTTTAATTTCATTGTTGCTTTAAGTCTTACATGTTGATGCCTGTGCAGAGTAACTTTAAGGAAAACCACATCAAGAACATGTGCAAGCTGTACTAGAGGGAAGGGTCATTTGAGGAAAGAATAATTTGAAAATGGGTCAAAATTAAATTCTGAAAGCAAATGTAGGATAGATCCTTATGTGGCAATGCACACAAATACTTAACGATGGCCGCCCCCCCCCCCCCCCACCTGCTGGAGGGAAATACTCCTTTAAAAGGCTTTCCAGACAAACTTTTCTTTGACTTGGCTTAAATTGATATAATATTTTTAGGCAGCATTTAACCAAGAAATATTATAGGGGATGATGGACATATGTACCTTTTAGAATTTTGCTTTTAGCTTTTAGTGACATAGTTGGATTTAGCAGGCTTAGAAAACTTCAAAGCAGTTCAAATGTGCATGATATGGGGGGCGCCTGGGTGGCTTAGTCGTTAAGCGTCTGCCTTCGGCTCAGGTCATGATCCCAGGGTCCTGGGATCGAGCCCCACATCGGGCTCCCTGCTCGGTGGGAAGCCTGCTTCTCCCTCTCCCTCTCCCCCTGCTTGTGATCCCTCTCTCTCTCTGTCTCTGTCAAATAAATACATAAAATCTTTAAAAAAAAAAAAAAAAGTGTGCATGATATGTGTATGTTGGGGAGCTAAGTGTTGATTGGTAAACACTAAATAAGGGTTTTCAGGTGTTCCCAGAGCCAGATACTGGACCGTAGAAGTTGCAGAAACAATTGATATACCAGTGGGCGGTTCGTGTGCCGCTAGTGAAATTGGAGAACATTTATGCTGCTAATGGAATCATCAGCTAGTAGAAGCCGGAAGTGCAATTATGGTTCATATGGTCCTTATACAAGTTGGTATTGAAGACCTAGTGAGAGCTCTATGGTGATGGCTCTTTACCCTGGTAGGAGTGGTAGAAAATACCAGAGTAAGTCTTTCGTCTGCAGGGAAGATTGGGCACCTGAACCATTAGAGCAGATGCTGGGCTCTTAAGAGATACAGATGTGGAAGTCATTTTACTTTACTCTTCTTTTTCTAATGGAAAGAATTTATGAGCTGGAGAGGAGGCAGAAAGGGAGAAAAAATGCCAGTGGGTGTGGGAGAAATTGTGGAAAAGTGGGAAAGAGATTTTTAACCTGGTAGAAAGTTGATAATTATTTGCAGGCCTGGTGAAGGGTAAATACTGAGGTAGCCAGAAGTGAGAGAAATTACTACGTGATCAGAGGGCCTTGAGGATGGTTCCTTTGCTGGTTTTAAAAAGATAAATGAGGCGTTGTTTGCGGTACGTGTGGGGATAGATTGCCGTCTGTTGGAAGACAGTTACGACACATTTTCAACATGTTTATGTTTTAATGCCAGCAGAGCTTAACTCGAAGGTTCCGTTTCATGGGCGTAATTTCATGGAGAATCTTTGCCTTTCCCAAATGTCATCAACTCCAGTCAGTACCTGAGCTGTCAAATACGAGCTCAATCCTTTAATTTTAAGGTTTTGATCCTCAGTAAATGGCACAAGTTCCAAGTTGAGATAGCACGCTGTTATCGGGGTGAAGGAGAGCTGGGAGCAGCACCGTGAAAGCAAACCTGAGGGAGCAGTGCTTCTATTAGGATGTGATTGGTTAGGTCTCACGGGAATGAGACTACCGATGAATCATAGAACTTCAGAGCCAGAAAGGGTTTTAGTGACCCTGCTCCTTTTACAGATAAGGGAAGTTGAAGCTCCGAGATGTGAAGGGAAAATGAGGCCACCACCATCTATCTCCTAATTCCCATTCCTCCACAGAGAATCTGGTTAGCTCAGCTGCTATAACAAAGAGTCTTGAAGTACGGTGGCTTAAAGAATAGAGACATCCATTCCTCTTTTAAGGAAGCAATCCAGTGCAGCAGAGCAGAGCTGCTCCTCTTGACCCGTCAGGAGCCCAGCCTCCTTCAAGGCCCCGTCCCACCGTTCCCCGGGGCACCGTCATCACGTGGGCCGTTGCACCAGGTCCATTGCCACATCAGGTTTCCGCAAGCAGAAGCAGAGGCGGCGTGGTGGAGTCCCAGCTGCTGTTGGAAGGCCCAGACACAGAGTGGCACACATCATCTTGTTGGTGTTTTATTTATAAGAACTCAGTCACGGGGTCACATACAACTTCAAGATGTGCTTGGACATGGAGTCTAGCCGGGAAGTCATTTCTCTGGTTACAGTTATACTGTAACAGGAAAAAGGGGGAAACCCATTTGGATGGACAGTGAATGGTCATGACCACAGAGGCCCCACCACACTCCCGGTCAGGTTACTGTCTGCAGTTTTGGCTTCTGAGAAATCTGCAACCATACCACCTGATTTCCACCCAGGTTGTATTATGTCCTTGACATCTCTTGATTTTGGCATACTTGGCAGGTCTTGAAATTGTCTTTCCTGTTAATGGCTCCTTTCGATCCCCACGTTCTGTGTGGGACATGTGTATAGCAAAAAAGCATCTCTTAGCTGGTAGTAACGTGCCCACCGCTCAGGACTATGTTGTGTCTGCCGTCAAAGTCCTATGCATATATCCAGGGCTGGGAGTATATTTTGGCAGAACAGGGGAATTCTGCAGCTCAGTAAATGCTTCCCTCCCCCTACACTGGGATCATTAAAGTAAATTGACTGTTTGGGAACTTGTTATGAATGTTAAATGAGATAACACATTTAAATGGCAATTTATTTTGCCAAGAGATGTTTATGGAGTGTTCCAGGAACTGTGCTAAGTACTTAGGATGCTCTAGTCTCTGAGATATTAGCCCTGGCCCTTAAGAAGCCCCCAGCCCAGTGGAGGAGACGCTGAAGTCAGTGAGCAGTTGAAAGTACAGAGTGGCAGAAAGGCAAATTTCCATAGCAGTAAGTTCAGGTGCTGGGGGAACAGAAACCAAAGGCACTTCGCCCCTGTTGGGAGGCACGTAGTTGTGAGGAAGCATGGCTGGGCTGACATCTAACAACACGTAGGGATTTGCCAGCAGTGAGACTCTAGGACACCGTCCATACCAAGGCTGGATCACAGGGACTCCGAATGCTTTTGACTGTTTCTCTGAGTATTGCCTTTGGCCTCCCTGTCCTTCCCAGGACTCTACTCATTGAGGCTTATGGGGAAAAGACTGAGATTTTGCTTCCAAGAGAAATTGTTTTCCTTGACTTTGGCATTGTGAGGTCAGTCCCTGCACACAAAGAAAGGAAAATGATTTGATAAAGATACCATTATGACAGGAGAGTTCTGGGAGATTTGGCTTTTACTGTTTCAAATTAGGAAATTGAGCAACAATTTAGTAAGGGCATTCAGTAAGTACACAGAGTAATTTAACATTGTTAAATATCCCACTGGCTCATGAACTTTTTAATTAATTCAGATATATTGGTTCTTCAAGGGAGAATACCCATTGCCTTTCCTATTATTTGTATTATACAATAATAGTCTTAGGAAGAGCGTGGAGAAAGAATAATAAATATGGTCATCAGATACACACCAAATTGGTATTTGTAGACCACTCTAGGGGAAAAGGTAGTTTTACCTACATAGTAAGTATTCTTTAAATTCTCAGACTATCCTTCCTCTCCCTGTACCCACCCCATCATAGCACCATATCCTGAGAATCCTCCCAAACGATTTTATAAGAGTCTATCTGATTGCAGTCATCTTTTAATCTGTGAAAGCTTATTTGCTTTCTAATTAAAGACAGACTTTTAATCATGGCCCTTATCGTGCTGAAAGCAGTGGTATGCACAGAGCCATCCATAGGCAACGCAAGTGTGGCTGACTTTCACAAAGGGACCGCTTATCATCTTAAAGCCAGGAAAACAGGTTAGACTCTGGGAAAAGTGAATGCAAGACGTGCCTTCTGCAGCTCTTTCACATCTGAC